ATGCCCCCAGACAATGAATAAACAGTAAAATCATGATGAGCATAATGAATTTTACAATAGAGAAATTAAGCATGACGTTACGTCAAATGGCAAACGGCAAAAATAAAACTTTTGCCCTCCGTCTTCAGCTGTCTGTACAATAGAGTGAAAATATTTGTATTTGCGGAGAATAGTAGGTGACATTTTTCTATTTTTGTGTGATTTAGTTCAGGATTAGAAGAAAAGGACACAAATTCAGAGGTAATCTTTGCCGTTTGCCGTCTGCCGTAAACGTCATGCTTAAACTCTCAACGAGCGAGAGCGGACATTTTGACAATTTATTACCGTAAAAAACAAATTGAAGTCAGTTTTTTATGCGTCTGTCCTGTAATTGACGATGAATTTCGTCATAACATTGTAAAAGTAGATCAACAGCTACGAAATTCATGAACAATAATAGGACAGACGCATGGAAAACTGACGTCAATTTGTTAACTCTGATATTTGTCCTTGGAAATTTACAAAATGTGATTAATTAAAATAAAGTCATTTACAACATTAAATTTTCCAATATCAAATCCGACTCATCAACTGTTCCAACAAGAACATCATTATCTTTTAGCCAAGACAAGACGTGGTTTCAAAAATCGGAAGATGTCCTACAAGAGAAAAGTAAACAGAACATAGAAATGACCCCATCAAAATAGTACCCAAAACTTGGCACACTGGGAGACAAATGAAAGAACAAATGAGCGGCCGACTTACGTACCACCCGAACAACTGGGTGAGTGAGTCAATGATCACACGAACGAACAAAGGAAAGAACGAACGATCGATAGACAGACATACTGACCGACCAACCAGGCTAACGAACAAACGAATGGACGAATGAGTAAACACTGCAATGAATGGATAGGTAAATAAATTAAACTGTAAATAACTGAACAAGATAGATTTATAAAGAAAGTAGAGGGTCCTCTAGGGGAACAGTCTTTTTGATCAAACTCTTAGAGTCATTGTCTTACTTAGTGAACACTGAATCATCCTCTCTTGGTAAGATGTTTCTAGCTGGATTACAGTAATAGTTAATTTAGCTAAATGAAACTCCGGATGAGAATGCATAATACGAGGCTTCATGTCAAAGCTGAACCCCCAGAGATCGTATATACCCCTTCTTATCGTACTTATCCCTGTTGGGTACAACAATACTTACAGTAAACGAGAGTCTGCTCGCACATTCGTGAACTACGTGCTAGAGTGTACGTGCAAATAGCACAGCTATTCGACTTGACACGGAGCGTATTTCAGCAAATTGCAACTGAGTGGCTCATTTCAGACCTTCTCTTAGCGTCATTGCAATGAAGTCATGAAAATACCCAGATCAGATATCTAGACAATTCCAGTGGGCAGCGCGACGTAGCATCCTTCACGTCTCCAACCAGTGCGCGAAACGGATCATTTAACAAAAATGCAAAAGCGCGCACATTGAGCAATCAGTGTGAACCAACGTACAAGTCAAAGAACCAGGAAGCGCATACGCGCCAGTTGAACAATAAGTGCAAGGGACGCACCAGTCAACCAAATAATGCGCATAAACGCGCAAGTTAACCAATCAGTGTGCGCAAACCCACCAGTCAATCAATTAGTGTGCTAAAACAGACGAGTGTACCAATCAGTGTGCGCAAACCCACCAGTCGATCAATTAGTGTCCGCAAACGAAAAAGTTAACCAATCAGTGTGCGAAAACGAACAGTTTAACCGATTATTGTGCGCAAACGTACCAGTCAACCAATTAGGGACAGGTTAACAATTACCAGTCCATGCCAATAGCACCAGTCCGGTCAATCAAGTAGTGCGCGCGAACTCACAAGTGAACCAATCAGTGAGGGCAAATGCACCAGTCAATCAATTAGTCTGCACAAACACACAAGCTAACTAATAAGTGTCCGCAAATGGACCAGTCAACCAATTAGTGCGCACAAATGACCAAGTTAACCAATCACTGTGCACAAACCCACCAGAAAACCAAATACAGGGCGCAAACGTACAAGTTATTGCCAGTGTGTGCAAACGTGTAAGTCAACCAATCAGTGTGCGCTAACATCTTAGTCAACCAATCAGTGTGCGCAAACATGTCAGTCAACCAATCAATGTGCGCAAACATGTTAGTCAACCAATCAGTGTGCGCAAACATGCCAGTCAACCAAAGTGCGCAAATATGTCAGTCAACCAGTGTGCGCAAACATGTAAGTCAACCAATCAGTGTGCGCAAACATGTAAGTCAACCAATCAGTGTGCGCAAATGTATAAGTCAACCAATCAGTGTGCGCAAATGTGTTAGTCAACTAATCAGTGTGCGCGCTAACATGTAAGTCAACAAATCAGTGTGCGCAGATCAAACACTACGTGTACTTCCGTTAACCTAACAATCAGAACGGGTCAAGTCGTCAACAGCGAACTTGAAGTACCGTAGTATGTTCACTGTCTGTTGCACAGTTTGCATGGTAAAGCTGTCATGTAACCTGTGTATGTCAAAAGTTGTCTTAGCCAAGTGCTAGCCGATTTATTGCTAAAATATAAAGATTCCGGAAGGCTAAACGCGGTATTTCACAGTCTTTTTTACTGGACTTTTATAATGTCATTTTATTTTGGTATCTTACTGGCCAAAATATGAAAAAGAATGGTAACATAAAAGAGAAATGTATGTGTAGAAATCAATTTAAGAATGCAAATATTTCTACGCCGCGCGACAAATGAAAGAAAAGAAAAATGTTTCAATGAATAAGACAACAATAAGCCAATCATCTTGAGATCAATCGTATTTCAATTGCGGTAAATTTGCAGCTATCTTTGTTATCTGAAGTACTGCCGGTGAGAGTTGATAGAGTCTCCAGAAAACATTTCAACAAAGCAGTTATTAGTGAACAAAAAAAAATTCAAGAAATCGACGAAAACAAATGATGTTTGTTATTAGAGCCGTAAAGTCATCTCTAAAGGCAGCCAAATGAAAGAAACGTAAAGGACATTTTAATTAACAAAATTTGTAGGACAAATACAGTCGAGCCCCTATTAAGCGGCCACCCTCGGGGAAATGGAAGGTGGCCGCTTAATACAGGGTGGTGTACTTTGAACATTTTTCACCACCGGGTTAATTTATTAATGAACATGGTGTCACTTCAAGACGTGTGTTTGAATGTTCTTATCCCTCGTCACCTTCTATGTCGGACTCTTACCTGCCATCACCTTTACCAAAACAAAATTTTTACATTTTGGGTGGCCGTTTAATAGGGTTAAAGACGATAGAAAAACCCCTATCGGAACGACCAAAAGGTGACCGCGAGCGCTTAATAGAGGTGGCTGGTTAATGGGGGTTTTATTTACAGTATTTGACTGACAATAATTTCAGGACTTTGATAACTGGCCGCTTATATTAATAATGGGTGACCGCTTAATAGAGGTTTGACTGTACAAATTATTACTTTGTTGTCTATAGTTTTAAGGAGCCGCTGAAGTCTGTGTGTTGCATCAAAATGCGCGCCAACGTAGGCGCGTAGGTACCTTAAGGATGGAGGGACGGATAGCCGATCAAACCTTTAGACACTGAAGGGTTTGCGAACTTTTCTAAGGGGCTCAGACGTTTGGCGTGCTCAGGAGTTCAGCTAATTTGCAGTCCGTTTATCTTTGTCAGGCAGCGACCTGAATATATATTGGAAATTCAGTCTTTCAAAACATTCAAAACACTCTAGCCAAATCAAATCAGAGTATATTTCACAAGAGCAAAGTAGTAATAGGTGTTGACTCATTTCTTGAAAGGTTTACGCAGTCCTTTTCCTAGTTGAACGCAACCGGAATGGAATTGTAGCAGGGAATTATTGCTTACTAAAGTGCACGTGCCATGTTGCGAGTGAGTCCTGTCGAAACTGTTTGAAAAACGAATTTCCCTGCGATTAAGACAGAGATGAAGACGAAGAAGCCATTTACCTGTTTGGTGGGAGTCGAAGTCGGACATACGAATCTCCACTTGCTACAAACTAGGCTTCAGTAAAGAAAGTAGTTAAGCTGTTTAGCATACACGTGAGGCAGTCAGTCTCATTCCTTGACCTTGAAGGTATGGATTGCGTGTTTGCTAAGCGATAAACAAAGAACGAAAATAGTTTATTTCCTGTTTCTACCACTGGGATCACCGTTGGCTACTCAAAGCTCGATGAAGCTAATCCAAGATAAGGGAAGACTAGTCGTCAAAGAGAAAGCTTACTTCGACTTGGAAGTCAAAATTTGGATTGAAAACATTCCTTCAACAAGGGGAATTAACCCATTTAACCGCGCCTATGACACGCGTCATTAATCTCTAAATTCCAAGCACACAGATCAATTCATGACCGGGAAAACCGCTGTTTTGGTTAAATCTTCGTTTTCCATTTTTATTATACAGCAGAAGAGCGACAGCACACATCGAACGTTTTCGCGCCACCATACTTGGCAACTGGGTGTATTTCTACACCCCATTGAAGGGATGCTCGTCCCTAGCCGCTTTCTCCACGTATTTTGATTGGTAGCCCCAGAGGGGCAAGCTGGCCAAATGGTTTATATGTTGGATTTCATATCAGGAAGACAGAGTTCGAGCCCTGGTCGGGGCTGTTAAGCCGTGTTCTTGAGCGAGACACATTACTCTCCACCCAGGTGTACAACTGGGTTACAGGCGAGCCAAGTGGCGGAGTTAACCCCATGATGGATATCAGCATTCTATCAAGCGAAAGAGAGATGGGGGGAGGGGGGTGGGTGGAAATATCCCTAGTCCCACAAGAGGCGTTAAGTCCACGACACCTCCCAGGCACAAATGCCCTTCAAAATTAGACAACTTACTAAAAGCTGATGTCACTGTTATTGTGTGGAGATATTATTGGCCGCCCTTGCAAATCAGGTTTCGTGAATTTACTTGTTAAACCCTGTAACACGATGAATTTGAGCAAAGATGATTAGCTGACCGCACTAAATTTGGAGAATAAGCCAGACCACGCACATTTATAGGAGATTTGTATATTTATAGCAGTTAGGGTTCGTATTCAACACAGAACCAACAAAGACGGGACAACTAATCATACAAGGCTATTAGTTTAGTCCGTAATTATGTAAAATACAAAGATAGAGAGCTACTTGTAAAGCAATGTCATATTAAACTTGCACAGTGCTAAAATACACAGTGGGCAAGTCGACCTGAAGCGAGGAACAGGCCAAGACCTAAAGGAGATAGAGCCATTCCGACCTTTCACGAAAGTGGATTCCACTAAACTATAGAAAGGGCGACAATTACAAAAAATAACGACTAAGTAGGCAACTTCAATACAATATTATAAACAACCTGACTCCGCCAGCTTTCGCTTGTTAAATCTTCATTTTGATAAGATATAAGAGAAGACCTCATTGAACGAAAGAATGATTCAATAAAAAGTTTTCTCGAAAATAGCACCGAAGAAATTTTTACTTCTGAAAGCGACTTGACGACTCCACAATAAAGAAACTAAGACCTAGATATATATAATTTCTTCGCTGATATTATGAAGTTGCCTTAAAACTCAGTGCGTTTTCCTATAAGGGCAGTGGCTCTACCGTGTTTCATCAAACGTATTTAAGTTAGGTTTCATACTTTCAGTCGGTGAAACAACAAATCCTCCGTGAACATGCTGTCCAATTAGGAAATGTCACGTAAGCTAGCGTCACGCCTCTAAGACAAAAACCGAGTGTAGTCATAGAGACGCGACACCAACCCCACAAAGTCTAGTTACTCCTCCGACTGCCTTGGAACGGACCAATCACAGACTACGTTAGCTTACTGCACAGGCGCATTTTAGCTCGTCACGCAATCTTACCCGCTCAAAGGAAAAAAGGCAGCGTGACCAGCCAAAATTGACGATTGTGATGAGAGCCAAAACTACGTCTAACCCTAACTAATTTATATCATCAGAATTTATACGCACAATAACAAGAATACGATATAATAAATGTTAATTTCATTACAATTATATTTGAGACGGCGCGGAACATTTTTTGAGATAACAAAGTTGCTTTGACTGCTATTAAATTCTTCTTTTTTTCTTCTTCTTGTCATTGGACTAATTTGAATTTGCAATCAATCAAAAACTGTATCGCGACATAGTCGAAAAGGCTTATTTCGATTCATTCTATATTTCTTTCTACAAGAAACAACTACTGCACGGTTCTACTGAATCGTCTATGGAAAAAAGTCATACAAAACTAAACTTTACTACAGTAGTTGAATCTCTGCCATTCATTTGATCAGTATCACTAAACCCTTCACAGTGTGACAAAATAGAAAAGCTTCTAGCAGACAAAAACGTTCTGCGTAACTAATGAAAAGCGCTTTCACCGTTAAACTAGAATATACACTTAGAGAAAACTGCATTGGAAATATGCAGAACAAGGGCTTTTCAAAGAACTTTCACATATTATTCAATTGTAAAATCGTATTTTTTCTCTCTCGGTTCACCTTTGTCTCTAGACTGTTAGAACCGATCTTCCTTACTCTTTTTGACTATTTGACTGACGCCCAATTACAAAACGTACACATATCTACACAACAACAAGGGAAAAAAATGTAAACGAACCCAACCAAGACCTAAGCTTTGTACTCCAATCTGGCAGGGAAGACTATAAAATCCGACTCCCCCTGGCACCCCTCCCTCCTAGCATAATTAAAGAATTTCTGAGCTGTGGTCTCGTACTGAATAAATAGCTACAGTTTAAGACCAGGAAAGAGGGGTTATACGTTTGTCCATATTGTTCTAAAGGTCTCTGTTTCTGCTATTGTGTATCAAAGTTGCTGGTCAAGTAGGAGGTCGTGATAACTTGCTTATAACACGGATTAAAGCGCCGTTCTCGTCTTTCAGCCGCTGATTGTCCGCTCTCAGGTCTGCTAGTTGCTGTTGGAATAAAGAGACAGCCATCAGTTACAAAGCTCTGAAGTGGACAGGAAAGAGGAAGGGGGCGGGGGAGGTCTTGGGCGAATACTGAGTTCCTCAAAGGAGACCCACACTAGCTGTACCGAGAGTAACTTGAGTCGTCACTGTACAATTTAGCAGGAGGATTTGAGCCATACTTCAGGGCGAAAGATTTCGTTCAGGACGTATTGCTTGCCACTTCGAGTATAAGCGCAGCTGCAGGTGCAACATGGAAAGGCGATCTCTTCATTTTCACACTAGCTAACATCTGAACGCTTGCGCAACATGCTCTTTCGTTTAGCGTTCAACGGTTACCATTACTTCAGACATCAAGACGGCACTAGTCGCAAAATGGAAAGAACTCAATATGTATGCATACCTTGAGGTCATCATCTGCGTTAGCGTATTTTCTTTCAAGCTCTTCCTTCGCCTAAAATGAAAATGACAACGATCAGTTGCCGATAATTTTCCGACAACTCACCCGCTTCAACGAAACAAACTGAAGGTAATAAACATTGTTAGTCACGTACTTGTAAGGCCTTTTCTAGTTTGACTTTGTATTCTTGAAGTTCTAACTGTGCCTCTTGAAGCCTTTCTTTCAACTTTTGTGGATCCGTTTCTGTTATAGTAGCGTTTGCCTGTTAACAAAATAGATTCAAATAATGGTAAATATGAAATACTATTGATTCAATTTTCTTTTCAAAATGTTTACTGCCTCAGATGAAGGCAAGACACTGCAGGAACTTAGTTTGCTAGACAGTGAATGACTCTAACCTTGGAAGTACCAAAAGGTCCTTTAGAATCACTAGTTCTGCAAAATAAGAAAACTTGTTTTCATTTTGAACACAACAATTCCATTACAACGTTTTGGTCATGTCAGTAAACAAAGAAATAAACAACGATGGTTCAACTTACCCTCTCCCTCTTATTCTGTCCGTGGTACTCTGTGAAAAAAGCGGAGGGAAAGATGAAAAAGAATATCAATCACAAGTTTAATCTAACACGCATTTGCGATAACTTCTGCAACGACAATGACTTCGTTCCTGTAGACTTAAGTGCTCCCGTCTTTTGATGGTTATGAGTAAGTTAGTGTTAGCTTATGGAACATTCTCCACCCTTTCAAACCATCCATAGCCACGCCCATTACCTTGACATCGTCTTGTCTAGTTTCCTGGGATCGCCTTCTGCTGCTTACTGGTGCTTTCTCGTCGTTCTCTTCGTTAAGTTTGGTGTTCTTCTTGGAGTCTTTTACTTCCTCAGTTTCCTCTTCATCGCTCTACAAAGACAAGTTAGGTTAATGATAGTGAAACGAACAATTTGTAGAAGTGAGAAAATGAATTTAAAAGATGCTTGATACGAAAGAAGACAACTGAAACCATTTCCTGGAAAAAAAAAAAAAAGAGGAAAAGCAACACAACTGAAAGTGTTTCCGGTGTTTTTGTTGTTGTTGTTGTTGTTGTTGTTGTTGTTGTTGTTGTGGAAAACAGACTAAACATTCGATCACAATAAAGCTAATGTAATATCGAATAACTGGTATCATATCCAAGCACTCATCTTCAAAATGCATTGCCTTACACGTTATTTTCTTTTAATTAAGGAATAAAGGTTTAATCCCCTTGGAAAGCCTACCCACCCCTCCTCGGCGTTTCTCTCTCAGTCTCCTGGCCCTCCTCGCACGAGCTGCTGCTGATGAAGACGAGTCATCCTCTTCTTTCTCTTTTTCTTCCTTCTCTTTTTCCTTTTCCTTCTCCCTTTCCAGCCTGGAGCGACGATAGCTCGGCATCTCGCTCTCTTTCTCCTTCTCTTTTTCCCGTTCTCTCTCCCTCTGTTTCTCTCTTTCCCTTTCTTGTTCCCGCTCCTTCTCCTTCTCTTTTTCCTTCTCTCGTTCCCTTTCTCGTTCCTGTAACCTCCTCTTCCAGGCCGGTAACTCGGCTTCCTCGTTCTCCTTGTTTCTTCCCGCCGGCTGTTGCCGTGTGTTCTGCCGACCGTCCGCCTCGTTCTTGTCCTCCGCTGTTCCGCTTAACCTGTTCCGCCGGCTCAGGAACGTGTCAGAGGAAGGTCTTGTCGACTTCGGTTCTTCTCTAGATCCCCGCCGCACAGAAGTGTCCTAGAACAAGCGTCAACAAACGTATCAAGCAGCGCTCTACTTCCTATCTTTAAATATTTTAATGTCGCACAAGTCGGGTGGAAAGAGCTTAACTCTTCACACCGAAACCTTAGTTTGACAAACGTTTAAATATCCAATTTACTTCGTACCTACACGACATAAAATTCAGCCGTTAGAAGACCTACTTATCTCGAATATAAATTGCTGAAACAAAGATTCGTTACGTCCAAAAATTCAGTCCTAAATGAATAAGTAGGAGACCACTGTTCAGTATACCAGACCGTTCTCCGAGAACGCCGCGCATTACACAAGCCAATCCTGGTCAAAACAAGTGACAAATCCACTTTCCCGACTCCTGAACCATACCTGAAATCTCTTCTCTCTCTCTCTCTCCCCTCCCTGACAGGAACGGAATTGAAATTAAACACCGGATTTACACGCGCGCACAACTGGCAAAATTGCGGGAGAAAACTACGCCTTAATAGTTGTCTGTCAAGAAACTGAAGCGTTGACACGACCAAGACAGTCCAGCCGGCCGTACCTACACAAGCAAACTAGCAAAGTACTTTTCTCGACCGGCTTAAATTCAACGCAAGGTATGGAAAAAGCACGAATTGACCACGTTAAGTGTCTTTTCCACGTTACAAAAAATCTTCAGCAGAAACAGATGAGCAAGTGCATGTTTACTTTTACACAGAAGATAATAAGATGGTATGTTCACGAGTGAGTAGAATAAAATGAGCACAACAATCAAGTCGTATATGGAAATAAAATGTTCTTGGAATGAAGGCGTAGCCGAATACTTAAATTAGACACGTCTGTTTGAAATAGAGTAACTATCAGTACAGATCTTATCACCTGGAGTTCAATTCTGTGGGAAAACAAACAAAAAAAGAACACTGATCCTTAAATTGCACGAAAACTCGTGGGGGTAAGTTTGTTTACGCGTACAAGCGCGCCGAAAGCACGTGGGGTCCGATGTAATTGACAACATTCCACAGACGTTTAATTGAATTAAACGCAGTCAAACGTAAGCAATGTCATCTCAAAAGAAAAGCGATGTCAGACGAAATCGACTCGCGACATGTACACATACTTCAGAGGTTTTAAAATACGCCCCCAGGCTTGTGTCATATTACGTGACCATGCTGATGAAAATCAGTCGCACACGCCAGGGTTCATACGCACAAAACTGTTCAACTGTTCGAGGCCTTGTCGGTGGAAAACTTTTGTTGACTCTTTCGGCGACTAATTACTTCAATAGCAAGCATGCCAAGTCGTTTGTTTACTATGAAATTAAATTTGACTTACAGCTAACGACTGCTTTGCCAAACAGAAGTAAATAAAACCGGTATCGAGTTTACATTCCCAACGCGACTTGACACATTTGCCCCGCTGACAACACAACACGTCAAATATTCGCTTACAAAGCTCCCGCGCTTAGCATCTGATGTAAGAAGCTCGTAGATACTGGAAACCGACGAAATTCTAAGTTAACTTATATTACCTGTTGCGGACTTGGCTTGGCAAATGGTGACATGAATGCATAAAAATACGGCGACTTTGTTGGCAAAGTTTTGACAGATATGCAAAATGGGTGTGAATGAAATGTATTGCACAATTCAACACGCACGGCTAATTATCCACTTTAGAGGCGATTATTCTGAGTATCTCATGCGCGATCTGTAAAAAAATCGTGTTCAAGCAGTAAGGAAAAAAAAAAAATTGGCGGCTCGTGTTCATGTTATCAACCAAGTGGAACATTCACCGAAAGGGCAATAATTTTCACCGCCGCAAATAGTGTGACAGTTTAAGGCTTTGTGCAGGCTCAAAGAAAAACTACTTCCATAATATTACTCCCCACTGAGAGGTAATGAACTTAAGAGATTTGCTCGGAATTCAAATAAAGAATCTGTGGGTTAATAAACCCTTACGTTTTTCAATAGGCTGTACGACTTTATCCATACAAATGTCACCACTGAATAATACAATGTGTTGTTAATAAATAGAGAGAGTAACTTTTAAGCAGCGCCGCACGCAGGCAAATATGTCGGTCTGTGGCTTTTAATTTAGCTTCACTGCATCAGAACAAGCGCGATAATTACATTACATGTTCCACCCTGGAGAGCTCTATCACACGCAGCAAATATCAGAGACGAAAAAGCATTGGTATCAAGCGCTTTTCACGACAGCTCGGTCTACAAACGCGATATCAGCTCAAGGCAAAACTGACCCGGTCGATAGCAACATCAGAATATGTTACATATCTGCTGTTGACAAACAAGTACAAATGTACGCAAATGTATGCCTGTTTACGGCGATGGTTGCACGGATTAATTGCCTCAGAACCAACCAGACAATGTGACTTTTTCACAGCCTGCTTAAACTCTAAGGAAAGTATTACCTGTAATCTTCCATAGCTCGGCTGGTCGAAGCGGCGTGTTTGATACGACATGAGCGGTACTTGACGAGCGCCTCTCGATGAACAACAGAAACTAGACACGTTCAGCTATCGCTGCGAAGCAACGGGTCTTCACAGTACACCACGCTGAACGGCTACGGGTCTAGCTCAAATTTCAGTTTCGCCATTTTTATTTCAATTGCTTTACCCTGTCAGACCATAAGGAGAGGTTTCGCATGAATTATTTATTGACTCGCACCCTAATTACAAAAGCAAACCTCCCCACGCAATTACGATGGACTTTTGACAATCGGTTATAAGGCATGCTGTCAACACAATCAACAAGCAGATCTCGCCATTATCTCAAGCAGAACTCTGCATACCTGCATGATCTATAGATCGAGAATATGTCAATTCAGTTGTTCTTGTTGTTTACACTGCAATGGAAATCATGATAATCCAGTCCGCTTAAGTAGGCACACCATTTGTCATTAAGGTGCGAGGTTCTTTGTTAACACTACCGCAATTTAATCCGGTTTCATTTTCCTTCTTTTCTTACGCCTTCTCTGATGGCTTTTTGTTTTGTTCTGTTTTGTTTCGTTTTTTTTCTTTTAAATTTTCATCTTTTTTTCTGTCGCTCTGTTTAGTTCAAATCGCAACACGAAACAAGAAAAAAATTATTGGAGAACCCTTTTATTTAAAAAACCCTTGATTAAAACAAGTTGTCCCGAAGTTTACTATATCAGATTTTTGGGGGGGCGAGCAGAGTAAATTACCAAAACATCACGAACAAAAGACACCAAATTAACACGAAGGTTTTGTTCGTATCGGAATAAATCAAGTCGGTAGAAGCAGAACCAAAAAAAAAAAGCAAGAACGAAAGATAATCCAAAAACCTTGGAGGCCAAAAACCGTAAGCTAACACACGACCGCCATATTACCTAGTTGCAGCTGTAGCGTGTCTTTTTACCGGTTAAACACTAATACTTTTCAGTTGTGTCATGTAGGAGCCACACCCTACCCTTACACTACTGGATTAATTATTGTTACCTTGCGCTCCTCGACCACTTTCCTGTGACTGATATCATTACTTTTTCTATCTTCCTCCTCGTTTTCCTCCTCTTCCTCTTCGTCTCCTTTGCCGCCATTTCCCACGTAAGAGGTAGCGGCTCTCTGAGTGACCCTCTTGGTTCGTCTTGTTTTCGTTTGACTGTCCTCGCTCGGAGTGGCGCTTATTCTGCTCCGAGTACTGGTAGTGGTACTGGATGTATTACTCGTAGTATCCGCTGTAGTACGCGTTGGGTAGCTCCCAAACCGTGACTTTGTTTCCTCTCTAGTACCTTCCTTATCAGCAAACCTAGAAGTCCTAGAAGGTTCAGTTTTTGAAACAGGTGAAGAAGGAGCATTTGCCTTCTTATCATTGTCTAGAAAAGGGGATTTAAGAAGCTTAGACGCGCCTCCTACCCCAGGTCTCGGCGCACTTACAGGCGCACTCTGCAGACGCGACGCAAGCGTCCGCGTCGTAGAACTGGTTGTACCTGTTCGCGTTTCGGGTTTGACCGGCTCCTCTTCCTCCTCCTCTTCGGAGGATTCTTCAGTTTCACTGCCGGTTTCCTCTTCCGATTCAGATTCCTCCGCTGGCTTTTTTAGTGAATTGACCGCAGGTTTTGAAGGAAGAGAATTCACCGTAGGTCTCGGCCTGGGAGGGACCGAGTTCACCGCCGGCTTAGGGGGTTCCTCCTCTTCGGAGTCTTCTTCACTCGACTCCTCCGAGCTATCCTCGGTATCCGACTCGGATCCGCTGTCTTCTTTGCTGAATCCGTCTCGTTTCTCCTTCTCGTTTTCCTTATCCTCCTTGGGTGACTCAGAGAAACTCGGCGGCCTGGAGCTGCGGCTCTTGGGGGACGTCATCTGCTCCCTGCTGGCCTCCATTTGAGCCCTCTCCTGATTGATGTCCCTGAGAAAAAGGTTTTGGTCCTTTATTCTGGTTATGGAGCTCCTATGAAATGAAGAAGCCACAGAGGTTGCATGAATAGAAGTGTTGCAGGACTGGCACCACAAACACCAAGCACCTGAATTGATCTCTCAGCCTCTGGAGAATCAATACGCCCTTAGTAGAACCCTGTTCGTGACCTTGTCGATCATAAAAAAGTGGTCATGGTTGAAATGTAAGCCAGGAATGGTATCCGTGATGAGATCAGTACGACTGCCAATTTTTAGAACACCAATGTGGAAGCGCACATTTTTATGGTGGTCTGAAAGTTGTGTATGGAAAAAGGGGCAGGTAGGCCCGTTTTTCCAGCCGCATCAAAACTCTGAATGTCTAACACGTTCAAACAACCATAAACTTGTCAAAATTGTCATTCGTACATGCTCGTTCCATTCCTGGTATTCATTTCGTTCCATGATCATCATTTTTCATGATTGACAAGGTCACAAGATAGGGTTCTAAAAAAGGGCACGAGTGCTTGGTGTCCGACAATCGAGTTGTTTGGACCGAGAACATGCGTTTTTTGAACATGGGTAACAGCTTTTCTTCCAGCTTGAGGTTTTAGTCGCATGCCAAGTTACGAGGACTTTCTTTTTCGCTTAGTGCCAGTCCGCAAAGAAGAACAACAAGAAAACCGAGAAGCCCTCATAAGAAACCATGCAGATAGTCATGCATCAGACAAGATAAGACAAGGACAGAGTAGCGTCAAAGAGAAAGACAAGCCAAAAGTACGAGGTTTTAAGGAGTAAGCTTAATTGTAAAGAGAGAAAGAGAGATGAGGTGGTTATTTAGTGTTAGTACAAAGTGTTAGTTTCAACTTAACATACAGCAGTCCAGGGTTGTTAGCAGGGGGTAGCGTACGTTGCATTCTAGCTCTAGACGATTCAGAAAGACTGAAAAGGAAGGAAAACAAGTTTTACGTTAAAACAAACCATCATTGAAATGACAGGGTTTAACACCTATTTCACTTTTTAGCTGAAAACGAATGTTGGTGTAAGCTGTTTAGGATAGTTAGGCGACCTTGTTGTCCTGAAGTGTTAAAGACACCAATCTGAAATACGATTAAAACAATTAAGTCGAAGGGTTTTTTTCCTCCGAAGTGATCAAGTTCTTCACTGCGATGAATAACATCTACCTATAGGAATTTGTTTAAAAGAGAGGAGTTAGCAATTAACCACTGCTGTGTGAAAAGGTTAGCTCACATTGTAGTTCGGCACACACAGAGAGAGTTCTTTCTTGGTAATGGATATTTCAGGCAGAGTAAGCATCGTGTAGAGTTCAAAATGACTCTTGACTCAAAATATCAAAGCACTAGTGGAGCTCTTCTACTGTGCAAGTTAAACCTCAGGCTGAGAAAAGTGCCAGAACATCAACAACTACCCACAGAGAAGGTGTTCAGAAGATAACTATTCGGCTTCAAGCCTAATTGTACTAGTGATGCAGTAGTATTTAACTCCTGTTAGAACCCACCAAGAATTACGGCGTGCACGTTTTGTATTTCAACAATATCTGGTTCGTTTTTCTTCGAGTAAGTAAACCTTTTTTCAATTTATTCCTAGACAACAATAGTCATGGACAAGGGGCAAATTGAAAAAAGAAAATTAATAAAGCTTAACTGTGTAGTATCTTCAAACAAATGCATACGCGCCTAACTTTGCCACTGTGAATGCATTTAACCCTAAATTCTACTCAATGACTGGTTGCGGACAAAATCATAGATCAGTGTTTACTGTTCTTGAGTACATGAGCGCTTCTCAGCTAGATCATTTCCCACTCTAACAAAGGGGTGGGGGAGGGGTGTCCAATATTAAGATGGACATTTTCAAGTAATGCCATAACCGAAAATTCTTGTTGGTTTCTAACAGAAGTCGCAGTATTTTAAGACAGGAAAAAAATGTCGCTACGAGATAAAGTTAAGCTTTGAAACAACAACTCTTGTAAGCTGTTAATTCTACTAGTCTTTACAGTGCAGCTACTGCTATTGTTTTAGGGCTAGGGGCATTGTTTCTGTTGTTTGTTCTATTGTCCTCTCAAAGGGTATCAAGCCATTCATGTGAAACCTTACGAGAGCTGCTACCTGACCCAACAAAAGGGTTACCTAGCATTTTGGTAACTCAGAGTTCTGTCAAAAGCCCTCAACCAAACCGTAGTTTCGAGTCAAATAAATAACACGTCACATAACCACAAGATTTTCATATAGCTCTAAGTTTCATTGCTTTCTGCAGGCACTGTGCTACGTGCACTTCTTTATCTCTCGTTAAACCAATTTAGTCCCCAAGTCGTCGCCACGTTCACCATCTTCTTAGCTTTATTCATACTAAATAAGCATTTTTGGTTCTAAACTTGAACAAGCAGCACTATACTAATAGCTAACAACACTCACCGTCGTTTTAATGGGGCAGGTCCAGTTTCCATATTGCTTTTAATAACTGGCGTTGTCGACTGTAGAAAACAAGATATTCCAAAAAACCAGTAAGTTAGAGGAAAAAAAATATATACTCCCTGTCATGGTGGGAAATAAATTACCCTTCCCCAACCGCTCAATTACGGACATACCGAAAGAAGGGCAATGTGTACGACTAACTTCACACAAGATTTCCAGTGGAAAATATGGGGGAATGCCCTTCCCCATTCCCCAGTCTTAAATTACAACTTCCACGGGGCCAAACTTTGAAACTCAACCTCCTGCCCCAGGGGGAAAAAAACCCTTCTCTCCACTGTACCTTTATCGGCACCTCTAAATCCCCTCTCATTGCAGCAAATAACTTTCCCACCAATTTAAAAGCAGATAATGGAAAATAACCGACATATTTTTGATGTGCAATACATGCCTGGGAATTTATTGCAGGAGGCTAAGCTGAAGGAGAAAATTAGATCTGTTACCAGATTAAATTGGTGATTCCTTCAGTATTGTTTGACAAACAAACCCAGTCCTTTCACAGAAGTAAAATGCTAAATAAATCCTTTTTCTGGCTTTAACAACAATTCAGTGGATAGCTCCATCCATTCTTTGAAAACTAAGGCCAGATTTCTTTTTTTTATTTTTGTTAACTGGAGCATTTTACTGTTTGGGTCTTTTCTCATTACCTTGCAACTACATTTCTACAAGTTTCAGCAAATCACATAAGGCTAACCTTTCTCGTTAACCAGTTTAATACAAATCACTGTGTAAGCATCAGCGTGTATCCACTCAATTTTTATCAACGGGATGTTTTTACATTGACCTCATTTTCGATATTCTTAATAGACAAGAATAATAGAGGTTTTTAACAGAAGAAATTGGCAAAAGGGGATTCATTCTGGTGTCTGTGTCTTCTCAATAGAGGTGGCTGCTGAATAGGGTTTTTTTTTTTATAAAGGTAAATGTAAGATGCTAATTTCAGGACCAGGTAAAGTGTCCTTTAAATAAAGGGTGTCCACTAAATTGGGGGTTCGCTAAAGGTTTCACTGTATTACAGATGTACAGGGCAATTTGAGCAGAGACCAAATACAGGAAAGGGGTCAACTCATAAGGACACCAGTATTATAAAGGGGAAGGCTGGTCCTCCTTGCACACAAAACAAACAAAGTAAGGAATATCCAGCCCATAACAACAAATACATGTACCTAGGGTTTCAGCAGGAGCACAACTGGTTTCTACAGGGGGAGGGGAGGAACTTTTCGAACTGAACTTCTTTATAAGAAAAACGTTCCTCTAGATGGTCAAACCAGGCAGGCAAAATCTTAAAGAAATCCCTGCATTTACACTTTACTCACTGCATTGATCTTCGGTTTATCATTTTGTCTTTTCTTGAGCTCCTCAAGCATTTTAACCATGTCTGGTTCTGCCAGATCAATGGGTGTTGAGCCCTAGAAATAAATGTTGGTGAGAACTATGACACAATTGTCTTGCAAAACAGCAAAAGTTTTGCAATCAACACAGGGGTCCCTGTATTTCTTAAAATCCAGTACATACTACCTTCAGGTTACAAATTTAAAACCAGGAAACAAGAATTCATAAAGAAATAGAAACCACTTTCCATGTTTCTGTTGAGGTGAAGAAACACCAGTGTAAATTTGCAAGAACGAGAAATGCTGTGGGAACACCAGTTGCAGGCAAGTGTTTCCAAAGCTTTTTCAAGTAATAACTGTTGGTCTGTTGATCAACTGAGTGAATAGACTGATTCAAAAGAAGGACTAAATATAAAATACCGGAGCTTTGATCTAGTCCAAGCTGACATAATTCGCCTGCGAGTCTGACAATAAATTTACTAAATGCCTAACACTCACACTTTCTTACAATTTAATACAATTTAATATTTCTTACAATCATTGCTATGGCTACCGGAAGTCTATGCAACCTCTTCAATACAACTACCAGAAACCTTTGTAAGTTTGACATCAGTATGTATACAGTCTATTGGATTGATGTGTCTTAGCAGTTACCATTCTATTCCTGGCACTAAAGTTAGCTCCATGATCAGCTAATACTTCACAGGCATCATTCTGCCCCCAGTGGACTGCCGCATGTAATGGCGTCCAGCCATCATTGTCCTTTGCATTGATATCAACACCAAGTTGAAGTAAAAGACTGCAAAAACGAAATCAATTATAATTTACAAAGATTGCCTTATTAAGGATTGCTTTGTTAAACAACCATCCAACCAAAAAAGGTAAACATGACTCCAGTTTTCATCAGATAAGATACAATATGATAAAATACGATAAGATAAACGTTTATTGTGCAAGTAAAAGTAAGCTTAGCTATAGCACCAATGAAACACCATGAAGCATCACTATCCCAGAAATTTATGCACAGCAGAACTTGCTGACCATAATTTAACCAAGAGTACTTCACAGACTATCAGCCCGATTCTTGTTTCACCACTGAGCATGCAGCCATATTTTCATTCTTTTCAGCTTGGAGAAGTAGTGAAAAAGTCTTAATTAAAAAAAAAATTGATTTTTTTTTTCTTACGCACATTAAATGTTTGTCTCTTGCAAAATCACAAGGGTAGCTAGCAAGCCCAGGACTACTAGAGGACAACTTTAACAACAACAACAACATCAACTACAACTGTATTTCACAAGTTGTGTTGTATTTTGGCCAGCAGACAGGGTAGGTCAAAGTTCAAGGGGTGAGAACGGCATACTGTGATACTGCATACTAAACTGTTTATCACCATATATGACTTTCAACTGGGCTACCATGGGCAAACCTAAATTGTGTTTTGAAAGCAGTTGCTCTTTTTCCCTTTGGGGTTTCACGGCATTATCCTCTCATGTCAATGAAGAGCATTAGGTGCTTACCTAATAACTTGTAAATAACCTTTTGATGCAGCAACATGCAATGGAGTTGCACCTAAAAGAAAAATTATTTCATAAATTCTGCTTCTTTGAAATTGTCGATAGCCATGCCACAATGAACAAAACTGTATTTTTCCATTGAAACCATATGAAAAGTGATTTAAAAAATAAATCTGATGGACTGATTCATGTACAACTCTTCTGCTATTAAATGTGACTAAATGTAATTTAGGCTACGTTAAACACAACACAAGATTGCTGGCCAGCAGTCTCCCTCAGAGTGAGTTTGGGGTGGCTGGGGGAATTGTGCAGGGGTGCCAGAATTTTACAGCTCGGCTTCGCATATTAGGAATGGGTGGGGCTTTCATTGTACATGGGTTAAGAGAGCTTTCACATGCAGTAAGCTTCAAAACATGATCGAATTTCTGTGTACTCAATCCTGTTTTCAGCAGAAAAACTACAATGTAGCTGAATAGTGGGGTGAAATTGTAGGCTGTCACTCACAGCCAGAAAAGGCTATGAGCTTGTTCAGTTAAAACAGTGTTAGAACCTCACCTGATCTAATATCTTTAATTTCATTTATTGTTCTACCATTCACCCAACTTTGGGCATCTTCTAACATTATTCTCTCTTCTATACTTCTTGCTAGTTCTACATCAATTCCTGGGAAAAACAAAACTTAATTTATAAGTGATCTTCATATAATTCAAACTAAATCTAGCCTTAAGCTCTTATGGGTTAGTAGAATATTTCCATTTAACACTGATTTTCCCGCCCCAGACAGATTTCAAATGCACGCAAATAAAATGACACGGCACTTTCAGTATCGAACAGTCAACATTCTTTTATCCTCACTGCTCCAATCAGGCAAGTGCACATAAATCCTCTGTGTGTGGTATGAACTGTCAAATTAACTTTTTTTCCTAGGAACCATTTGGGTCCCAAATGTTTCAAATTGGTCACCAACTCCAAATAGTCAGTTACCATTTTTAACTAGGAGAAGAGCATTTTCCAACTTCAGGTAAGGTATGTGTGGCGAAATTCAGTCCTTTGTTCCTTCACTCCTTTGCTTCCTGTTAGCCTTTTATGTGAATCTGCTGACCTATGTATAATGCTGTCTCAGTCATACTGAAGTTCAAGTTATTCATAGTCATCCTCATCGAGTGATTGGTGTTAATTTTTATTGGCAATGTTTTTCATTTGTTCTTAGTATTTGTGACACAAGTACTCAACTGTGGAAATCATGTCTCTATAAAGTCATAAAGAAGCTATGAAAATATAATACTGCATATCTCAAAGATGTCTGCTAAATATATGTTTGACCATACTCGAGTGTGAAAATGGAAGACACGGAAAATCCCAGAATTAATAAGCCGCATAAAGTTTTGAATTCATGATTATAGTCTTGATTGAAATTTTTCGGCAGGAAATTAAACAGACAGGAGAACTGAGGAGAGTTTTGATTTTTTTTGGTAGAAACATAAGTAATGTGAAATTATCAGCATTAAGTGAGGTAGAAATCCAAGAGGTTACTGTAAAAACTATTAAAGGGGTTAACCGTGCCTAAATAATATCATATGCATACAATAGGAGGAGGGGAAAAAGTTTTCTGGAATGTAAGTACTGTAACTATAACCAAGTAAGTAGGAGATAAATGTCGTACTGTAGCATTGTTTTGTAAGTATTTTTCATTGTAAGTAGTATTTTTTGTTGTTGTTGTTTTTGTTTTTTGTGTTGGTCTGCTAGTGTGGAAATAAAGTTAATTAAAAAAAAAAAGAAAAAGAAAGTTTTGAATTCATGATTACAGCCTTGATTGAGATTTTTCGGCAGGGAATTAAACAGACAGGAGAACTGAGGAGAGTTTTCATGCTGCTTTTTGCTGTACCACACTGTAAATGAATATGGACATGGTAAAATGATGAAAACAAAGTGCAGGAAAAGAACACATGAAAATCAAACAATTGGTGAGCTGTATGAATTTTACAATAGTTAAAGCCTTGATGGAAATTTTTCAAAAGGATTCCATGTTTCTTTGGAAAGGCCAACCAATTCCTTAACATCACTTTGGTTTTCTAGTTCATGAATTATCAGAGCTTGGGCTCCAATAATTTTAGCTCGCTGAGTAAAGAAAATTATGGTTAGATTGAAACTCTGCGAATATTACAGAATTTTGACAGAAAGGTTCTTTCAAACGTTCTAAGATTACTTGATCTTTATTAAGAAATAGTACAGGATTCCAAATTCTGTTTGGGCTTTGCTGTAGATGAAACTTCTTGGTTAGGGTATACCACCAAAACACCCACATGATTTAATGTAACCTGCAAGATGAAGGCTATGATCTCTACTTACTAAATTCCCAACAGTGGGAAACTGTTACAGAGTTTCAATGATACAACCTATCTGTATTGCTTGAGTTTTTTTTTTTTTTAGAAATGCCAAGAGATTCCAATGACTATTTTGGTTTTGCAGGTTTCATAATTTGCAAATTTTCTGACAAAGTTTACACATACCATAAAATTTTCTAGTTAACATAGGGATCTTTATAGTATGACTAAGTCCCCAGGGGTGTACTTTTGAAAGTGTATACTGGGAGGTCCCTTCCAGACGTGCATCTGCGCTCACCCTTTTGTGAACCATTTTTGACAAAAAACCTTTATGTACCCTTCCATATACCTCAATTTCTGAAATCCCTTCCTTTGAATATACCTGAAGCTTGAGAAACGTACACTTTTGAGTGGAGCCTCCCCATAGAGGTCATTAGAGAAAGTATTCCACCTCACCCTCCCCACCCCCCACTGGGCTTTAAGCTTGGGAAATTTGTAAACTAGAAAAGCAAGATGATTTTTGGAATAGGTGTGAACAACACTTTTGTTGCAAAATTCATGACAATTTTAGACTTTGGGGCATTGAAGTTACAGGAACTTTATGGTGAGAAGACTGGGTTTTTACCTAATGCAAGCAGCTGCTTCTTCTGGTTTTGCCAGTAAATAGAGGTATTGCCTTGCTGCAATTTGACTAGTGCTGTTTCATGGAACTAATTTCCATCGATTTGGAATTTACTTTTAAATTTCACAGCACCGTTTTAACTTTCCTCATAAGCTTCTTGTTCATACATAAGAGAGTTTTCAATAACAAGGTATAATCTAATCAAAACATTTTACCACAGATTGTGAAATAAACAAGTGTCAGTTCTAACCAAATCTGCTGTCTATTCATTCTGTAGGTCAAGTTATAGAGGCAAAAACTAAAGTTAAGGTATCAGTATACCGTCTTATGTTAGCGCACTTTTTGTGGAGGCTTTGAAAATAAACCCCCATAAAAATATACATTTCCTAAAAGCTTAATAAATGAAGAATTCAAATATGTTTTTTTTTATTTTTTGAAAATATAAAAAGCCTTTATCAAGTTTGTTTACATGACTCGATTATCACAGAAATGTAAAATATCAGAATTGATTCCTGAACACAATGTCCTTCAAAAGTCACGATCGCTTGATAGAAATCTAAGTTGATTTGCTACACATTTAAAGTCAATTTGATATAAACTGAAGTTGTTTCAATAAAAACATTGTTTACTTGCACTAGTTTCACTAGAGAACTCCTGAAGGCATGCTCTTCCCTTGATGGCCCACTAGCTTCCTAAGTCAAAATTGTACTCATCACATTTGACATTGCATGCCACAATACAGGCCACAAATGGCCACATCTTTAATAGTCATGACCAACAATGAATGTCTACATTAAACAGTTCAATCAAGTTGGATAATAAAATTCCTTCAATCAGTCATATTTGGTACTATATGCAAGAAACATTTCTTGTTTGTACTTACTGAACAAAGAAAAAAACACTTCAACTGGAATTTTATATAATAAGTCAAATTGTTCTCGCATTTTGATTGGTTCTCACCTAGGATCTATTAGAGGACAGACACAGATGATGTCAACAACAAATATTTTCCCTCTGTGCTTTAAAATAGCAGAAAGTTTTGGGAATCTAAATATTTTACAAGACTGGGCGAAAGGTAAGGAACAAAGAGAGTCTTGTCAAAGCATTGAACAGGTACGAGAAACATGAAGAACAAAGAAAAAACCATTTCTTTTTTAGAAAATGACTCAGAAAAAATACTCGAGCAATCTCAGTATGCAGTTGAGCAAGACTAAACCAAACACAAAATTGGTCTTGAAATTACTTTAAGGTAAGAAACCATTGCTCTGTCTCAAATTTAACAAACCCAATAAACAAAATTTTTATGAGACTAATTTATTAGAAAAACTCAACTTTGACACAGTATAGCTCACAACAGCTCACTGCCAACTGTATCGCAGCTATAAGGTATCTCTGACACTATATTGAACTGATTTAAGAATCACCAACCACAGAGGACACAAATTTCCAATGTCACTAACACTCCTTTCATTCAAAACTTGAATTGAATGGCCTTGAGTGTTGACGGCAACCGCAAGTTTTCCAAGCATATTTGAGTGACAGGCACAGCTATCGCCTTGTGTGCCACTTTTTTGTTCTTATCACACTTTGCCCTCATCTGTGATCTATTACTGAACAGAGGCATGGCAACATGGAATCTATTTGTTAAATATTTCCTCAAGTTTACTTTTGCCAACAAAATGAGTTCAATTTGTATTGAATCAACTTTAGGTGGCTATTAAATAGACTTTAGATATGTATCAAAACGACTTTGATTTGTATCAAAACGACATGTATCGAAACGACATGTATCGAAACGACATGTATCGAAACGACTTTCTATCGAAACGACTTACAACCAAAGATCTTTGATGCAATCGAAAACCGATCTTTAGTTTGCATAATTTTATGACTGTAGGTCCTGGGGTCATTTCCAGGTATGGGGTTTCAAATTTGTTTATTTTGTTTCTTTCTTTGTTATCTTTTGAGAGATCTCAGAAATATAATACTGTACTCTGCCCAGCTTGGAATCATTATACTACAAGGACAGCAACGTATCTCATCCAGTCTCCAAAGTTTAGCCCTGTTTGGCAAATACTTTGTGACAGAACCAGCCATCAACTCACTTAAACTTCGGTACAACATTTCATGACTTAAGCATATTTTTGTACATACTTAACACTCAATTGAACCTACATGTACCTATTTCATCAATATTTTCCCTTCACTATTTAAGGGTTGTAGATGTGGCACAGTGGGTTAATCCCTTCCTTCCAATGTGAGAGTTCAGAGGTTCAAATCCAACACATTGTAATATCTTCTCTTTTCTTTCTTTTGTATAGTTTTCTTGTCAACCCATATGTTTATGTCAAGAACCCATTTACCAAAAGGTAGCATTTGCCTTTCCATTTCTCGTGCTTCAAAAATCATCTGGAGCTTTTAATCATTTGATACTTAGTCAACTTTTTGAACTTTTTTTGCACGCAAAATTTGCTAGCCTTTGTCACACCCGAAGTTACTGCTAGTATCACATGGGTTTGTGAAAGGAAAAACCAGAAGACTTTCCCTTACAATCAAATCGCCAAGGAAGAACCATAAAGTCTTTCCAGTACAATCATATCACCTTCTACCTCTAGAATAACTTGGCACCACTTCAGTGTACAAGCAACTGTGAAAGCCCTATACACTGGTAAGGGGATGTTCAAAATGTCTAACAGGAAGCGAAGGAGTGACTGAGTGAATGCCCCATCCAGGGATTAAATTTTTTTTTCCCTTTGTAGTCCCCTTGACTCCTTCTCCACAAAATTTTGGAGTCATTTTTGAAAATGCGAGGTCATGGAGCATAGTAAAAAATTTTTCACTTGCACGTGTCAAAGCTGTTACCTAAGGAAATTTTAAAGGAGCCCTTTGGGCTCCTAACTTCAAACAATTTTTTGGAATCAAGCCTTCAGCGAAGTGTTCAGGTCATGACTGAGGAAGAATACCATTTATGGTCAAACTGAACGAAATTCAATAGCTGGTGTATCCATGCAATTGCTGCAGCTTTATTTTTACCAATAATATATATTGCTGCTTTTTTTGAGTTTTGTGATTCTATTTTAACAAAACAAAATACATTGTACAAATCATGAAATGTAGGCTGCAAATGAAAACAAATAAAAATGAAAGAGGCCTTCAAGGGGTGTTGAATTTGGCCTCACTTAAATTTGCTTTCCTCCCCTGGGCTTGGGATATTAGTATAAAGTAAAGGTGATTTTGAGACAACATTACTGCATTATATTGGCAGCTACTTTGGAGAAAATGTATTCTCATATTGGCAAAGTCATTACAATTTGTTTGATAATTTAAAATATAAAACCCTAGTATGCACAAAGAATTGAAATGATGTTTTCTGTTTGCCTGCTAGTACATTTAAGTGCTGTTTTCTAAAGTATCAAGCAAAAAAAAAAAAAAGCCCAAGAATTTAAACAAATTTATCTTCATTCAATTGTAAATATAATGTCAGCAACATCATGAGATAGACAGACACCTTTATTTAAAAGTAAAAATGTAAAGGTAAAAATTTCAGGGTAGTCCCTTCAGGGAGCTTACAAAGCATCTCTGCTATCAATAGGAGCCCTGCTATTACCTAACAAAGATAACACCAATTCCAAAAAAATATTTGTTCTCATAGTAGTTACTTTGCAACTGGAATCAGTAAGGTATCAACAGAGACACAATCCATTGGCATACATGCTGTACATTTATTCAATACTGCACTTGCAGTGCATTATAGGGCAATATTCAAATATGGCTGTTTTCGGCTGTTTTGTTACTGAGAGAGACTTTGTTGCTGTGTCTGGGCCCATGTTTCTCGTGATAAAAGCAAAACAGGACTAGAGTGGCTGTCATTTCCTCTTTAATTTATTGTGTGAATGATTTTTTGACCGATTTCATGAGAAACATCCCAGCCAATCAGAAGGTGCATTAGCCAGGAACCCTTAAATTTACCGAACAAATGTTCAATGATCGGCGGTGGTTGGCAGGCTTTTTACTGGGAATTGTGATGTTGGTGGAACAAAGTTACAATAAGGAACTGCTAATTCCTGGTTACAAAAGATTTTAGTCATTGGACTGATTAGATGGAAAAGAAAACTCCATGTTTAGGCGCCCACTCGGGCTCCTTGAACAAAACTCTAGTCGCCTGCACTCGTAACTTAGGTGCCTCAGGCGACCGGGTGCCAGTTAGGAAGCAGCCTTGAGGTGTGCACAGTCAACACAACAAATCAAACTACACTTTTAAAGAGAAACAACAACCTATCAACCAGGTTTGAACATTTCTCTACAGGAAGGCGAAAGCCAAAGGCATAACACAAGAACACTGTAATCTGAAAACATCTATGCTTTGAAAAAATTAAAGTTCCATTAGTGCTCCTGAGTTCTTAAGCATTGTGACGTTTGGGGAGACATCCCTTTTTTGAGACAAGGAAGCCATTTTGTGCACAAGGAAGGTGGGTTCTTTATGCTACCATTACATGAAGTATGTCTTCAAAGGAGAACTGCTGACTAAAATGATATACATTCAAATGAGGTGACCAAAACAATGAGCAGTGCCAAATGTGGTACACAAACAGCTATGCAAAAAATTCATTTGATCAAGAAATGTTGTTCCACAAGTAATCCGACAATTTAATTTTTAATTTTTGACTGCCACAAAATAAAATTCTGCTGCAAATTTCTTGGCCCTACACTGGAGTCTAAGTGACTCCCTGTAGGAATTCTTTGGAGTCACAGACAAATTTTTGGCATAATATACACCAGAAATTGACTAGGCATATCTCGCAAACCAGATGCGAATGCCCCAAGATACTTTAGAGGAGTAATGAAGAGATGTTGTACTTGCAAGCCATGCACAAGGCTGTTGCCTAAGGAAATTTTAAAGGAGCCCACGCCATTTTTTTTGCAGCCCAGAATAAAAAGTTGTCAACCCTGGGGTTTAGGCGTTGGGGAGGGGGAGGAGGTTGGAGTGACTTGGGAAATTCAGGGGAGCAGCCCAGGGGACATCCCCCTTCTCCCTGTTGATATTTTCCTTTAGACACTAATATCAATCAAATTTTTGGAATCAAGTATTCACAAAAGTCATCAGGTCATGACTGAGGAAGAATATTATTTATGTTGTTAATTATTTGAACAAAATAAACAAAATTAACAAAACAGGGTTTTCTTGTAAGAAATTTATGGGTGTTTTGTCAGGACAAAAAAAGGTGGCTATAATGATGCAGTGACTGTATGTTAACGAGACGACCCCAAGGCAGAGTTCCACTGTACATGCAAGTGCTGCTGTTTTTTGTTTTTTTTTTTTTTTACAATTATATTGTTGTTGTTTTTGTTTTTGAGTTTTGCCATTCCAAATTTAAATTTAAATCTGGGAGATCGCCAATTCTGCCTTCTCAATCCTAAAAAACAAATTGTTCAAAGTAGAGCTTCTCCAATTCAACCAAAAAAATGCATCAAACATTCCAAAGTTTTCCCCTGAAAAAGGCCAAAAATCAGCAAAAATAAGCTTCTTCCTTCGAATCCAGGAGATTTGGTAACCTACACAGGAGACCAGGAGATTAGCTCTGTATCTGGGAGACTCCCACAATGTAGATAATCTGGGAGGGTTGCCATACACGCCATTCTATTTGAATAAAACAAAATACTGTACACTGTACAAATCATGAAATGCAAGCTGCAAATGAAAACAAATAAAAATGAAAGAGGCAATTGGGGGACTTGAATTTGGCCTCCTTGAAATGTGCTCTCCCTGTCAGGGCATGATAAATTATAACAGAAACAAAATGATTATGTAATTTCACATTTTCTGTTTTTTCCATTTCCAAAAATATTTGTTGTCAAAATAGTTATTTTGCAACTGGAATATTGCCTTTTCACCAGTAAGGTTTAAACAGAGACACAAGCATTGGCATACATGAAGCACATTTATTCAATACTGAGTTCCCAATGTAGTATAGGGTGATTTTCAAATGGCTGTTTTCGACTGTTTTGTGAGCAGGGAGTATCTTTGCTGCCGTGGTTTGGCCCATATTTCTCACAATAAAAGCAAAACAAGACTAAGGCAACTGTTGTTTTCAGTTTAACTTATTGTGGGACTGATTTTATGACTGATTGCATGAGAAACATCTTGGCCGGTCAGAATGAGCATTAGCCAGTGAAAACCAAATGTACGATCGATGACCAGCGATGGTTGGAAGGCCTGTTAATGGTAATTTTTAGGCCAGCATAACAAAGTTACAATCAGGAATCGCTTGCAATTCCTGGTTACAAGGAATTGAAGTCATCGGACAGATAAGATAGGAATGAAAACTCCATGTTTAGGCGCCCACTCAGGCTCCTTGAACAAAAATTTAGTCACCTGCACTCGTGACTTAGGCACCTCAGGCAACCGGGTGCCTGTTAGGCAGCAGCCTTACATGCATGAAAAACAAAGACACTGTAAGGTTGATTTCTTGACCTGAGTGACCCCTACTTTGCCACCCTGATTGTGTTTTAGCCATTTGTGGGCTAAACGCATGCAGAGCATGCAAATTACATGCACTTGATGCACATGTTCTGATGCATTGCTTGTGACTGGTACTGTAAACACGGCCTAACTTTACATTGCAATCTTGATGTAGCTCAATGTCTCTTTTCTTTCTACTACTTCTTCTTTTTCCCCCCTCACATTTCAGTTCCGAAATATGTAAAATCAAAACTAAATAAAGTAGATGTTTCAACCCTTTACTAGAGGAGTTGTCTGCCATTAACGAAATTCATTTCACCAATACAGCAATAAGAAATTATATACTTGGCTTACTTTGTGTTCTTTAATTCTACTGTTGACAGAAGAATGACAAAATGACACTTAGAAAAAACTGTAAGCAACACATGTTCACATTGCAGACCTATTTTTCTAGAATTGCATAGTTCACCAATTTTATTTGTGTGATGTCACACTCTATTTCAAATGGTAGTCAGGTAGCCATGTGAACTGAGTGTTGCTACATTTTACCTTTCAAAATGGCTAAGCTGCCCATTAAGGAAGAACATGTCACTTACCTAATCTTTCGATCTCATCAGTTAAAAGATCTTCCATGTCTTCTTCCTCAGCAAGATCAAGAGGTAATTCCCCTTCATTATTAACAGCTGCAACATCTGCTCCATGATCAATTAAACATCTGTGAACCAAAGCAAAGAAATCATTGGTGATCAAGTGGTTCTGAATTTACAAGGAATTGATTCTTCATTTCAAACTTCTAATCTAATCAATAAGAATCGGCCTAAAACTCATAAACACATTTATCTTGGTATGCAAGAATTTGCAAGACAAACACTCAACATCAAGTTTTATTTCCTAGGTATCAGTACACGTGCCATTTTGTAGCTATTTTTCAACCAAAACTTTATTTCCGGGAGCAGTTCTGCTGCTGTCAAAAATGTTATTCTAGCCATCAGAATGAGTCTGAAGGGCATTAGATTTTCAGAAAAATAAAATAATTTGTTATACCTCCCAACTCAAATACACTTTCTGATTAGAGGAGAACGTGTCATGTGTCGTGGGTCAAAACTCACTAACTCCCTAGGGCGAGCAAAACTCACTAACTCCCTAGGGAAATGACAACTTGAACTTTCAACTCACACTTGATCAGGTCGTGCTCCTTGAAACCGCGGCAATTTGTGAGCCAGCGGACATTAAACAAACGATTTCTTCGCATTTTTTCTATTTTTGAGTTGGGAGGTATAACAAAACACCTTATGACTGGTCCTGCAGGAAACCGAGTTTTTTCCCCCTCAAACTTTATGTTCTTTAAGGGTTCCAGGGAAGCAAAACTCACTGTTTCCCTTGGGGCCAGTCATTAAGTGCATAGTAATGCAATGCTCCCTTCCCTCTCAATGGTGTAACAACCCTAAAGGACAGCTGCAAAGGAGACTTACCGAAATCTGAACTAAAAGCATTAAATAAAAAGTTAAAAAAAAACACCATATTTTTTCAGTTATATACCATTAACTTTTAGACAAAAGTGTATCAAGCTTACAAACTGTAAATTTCTCTTAAATACTCGCCTATACATCTAAGACAAAACCTGAATTACAGGAAATTTTTTAATCACGTTCATTCGACCAAGCCATTAATTCAAAATTGTATTAGAAAGAAAACCTAAAATTATGCTTTGCATCTAATCCACACATCAGTGATCCCCAAAGGAATGCCTGATATATGTGCTGAATTCTCCAAACACAACAATTCATCCAAAACATACAATGTAATGTTAATTGTTACTATTGAATCTCATGGATCAAGTGAATTAACAGTTTGATTGCTATGTCCTAAAGATGATGTCTGAGAGGAAATGAATGCTAAGCATGGCACCAATAAAAAGTACATCTACACAAACCTCGGCATATATAGTGGTATATGTACAAACTAAATTGTTTAATCCATTTTAACTAAAAAATGAGACTTGTTACAAATAAAAATGTTTGCAAGGTGTCAAATATTGAAAGAAAGAAATAACAAACTTCAAATAATAGTTAGAGGCAGTGGTCTTTATGTGAGGCTAAACACAAAACTCTTTCATTGTTTTTGGATCGACATCTTCGAAAAATCAAAAACAAAATGCTATGTACAAGCACATTGGATACATCTATGTAGTGCAATGTAGGGCAATTTGTTCTTTACATGAAGGTTAGGATGATTTCAACCTGGGTTAATTTGTGTCAGAGGGAAAGGGTCAGTCTGAAAACAATAAGTTATCAGCCCAGCAAATATGAGCAATTTTCCAAAAAATGCTTGTGTGGCCTAGTGGAGATGAATGTGGACTACAAAGTCCAAGATAACGGGTTCAATAGGTGTGTACATGTACAAAATAAACAAAGGCTTGGGGGTTAGGGTTAAGGTAAGGGTTAGTGGGAGGGGGTGATATAAGATCCTGGCAGGGTAGGGTAAGGAACTGAGATGGGTGGATGGTGTGTACTTTAATCTTGAAAAGAGCCCCCCAAAAAGTGAAAATAATAATAATTTAACCCAGGCTGAAACCAAGTGATCTCAGTTGAAATCATTCCGACCGAAAGAACAAATTAACCTTCAACATTTACACTTCATGTCTGGCCTTATGGTACTTAGGGAACAGCCTCACAAGTACATTCTGCAAAAGTTACCATTTTTGAAGTAGTAAATCTTATGGATAGACTTAAATGAGTTTCCCTTCTTTATTTGCATTTTCCTCCCTGATCAACTTACCATAATAACAACACCTAGATCACTGCTGTATCCTTAGTATTGAACTGGAACAAGCTGGCAACCAAGGCTTACGCAGGGAACCTTTTTCAAATTCAAATGACATTAATCTCTTTTTAATGATAGTCCCTGATATGAGTCTCCATTGCAAGCTCGCTCCAGTCCAATTCTGAGAGTATTGTTATGGCCTATCAATAATATTTATAAAACTAAATATTGGTGCAGCACTGTTTAAAGTGGCAAAACTTCAACAAACACAGTATCTAATATCCAGTTACATCGAAATAACCATGCTTAATTTCAATTTTTGACTACACAATAACTCCAGCTTGTTCTGCACATTCAGGGTTCGTACTCTTTGAAGCTTTCAAAATTCCACGACTTTCCATGACCTTTTCCATGACCTTTCAGAGTTTTCCATGACCAAAGTTCAGCAAGTTGTTCTCACAGCAGTATCACCACAATCATTTATTTAACATATTTTCCAGCATTATAATGCATAAAAGGTGTGTTTGTGTCTATTTCTACTGAAATTGAAGCCTGTTTCTGACTCGTCTGTTATTTTTTAATTTTTTTTAACTTTTTGCCTTTTTATTTTCCGAAAGCATATTGCTTTTCCATGAAGTTCACTTAAATTCCATGACTTTCCAGGCCCAGAAATTGAAATAATAAATTCCCTGACTTTCCAGGTTTTCCATGACCCATACCAACCCTGACATTGTTTTTTTTTCCTTGTTCTATAAGATTTCTGGTGTTGGCCATTCAATGAACAGTATTTGCAACACTGACTAAAATCTGCGATAATGAAGGGTGTCTTCACAATGCAAAGGAAATCAAATTTGTTGCTTGCCCTTCACGTTTATGGCTACTAACCATGGTCACTGAAAATTCATCTACAGTGTGGCATGACACAAAATGGTACAATGCTGTAAATTCGTATTAACAATGATTTAGTAATACATAGACAAGTAAAAACAAACGATATAATCTCCCAACGTTTCGGCGACCTCATGACGCCATTATCAAGGGTACAAATGAGAATTAAATTAACAAATGCGAGTTCAAGAGTTATAA